TATAAATATATAAATATATTATATATAAATTTTTATTATTTATATATTATATATATACAATTTTCCCACAAATATAGTATAGCATATCGATATACAGTATATAAAAAATTTGAACAAAATTTTCGAAAGATGTTGCACTTACGCAGGATGATTATAATTAAACTGATCCTATTCGGAGCCCGCTGGCTCGGTTCTAATAGGTTACATGTCAATGAAATTTAGTGTATGTGCTATTCACAATACAGTATGGTGAATAGATTTCTGAATGACAACATTTAGTTCAAATTTTCACCACTAGACAAAATATGGCGCTTTAAAAACAAAATCCATAAGTCAGCAAAGCGAAACGTTATTTTGCACTTTATTTTACACTATATGTTCAATATGTGAATCATAAGCTCGATTACATGTTGGAAGCATAATATAGCGTGATCGGGAGCACGAAGCATTTCGGTGAGAATATGGCGACATGCTGCGTCATGCTGGGCTTCAGCTGAGGGAGAGATTGTTATCGTTGTTTTCTACATTAATTAATTTTCATAAAGTTACAACACTACTTGATCTTGAAGTGTCATATTTTCTCCTAATAGAGAAAATTTGAACCATTACAACAGACTGCAGAGGGCTCTGAGCAGGGTCAATTATAATTACCCTGTACCAATATTTATCGGTTATATTAAAGATAGATTTTCTATTTTCATAATGGAAGATTTTCTAAAATAATTTTTTATTATTTTTGTTGTATAAAGGTATGTAGAGTTTGGATGTTTGTTCTCATTTATATAATTGTTTACTAAGTTTATTTATCATAAATAAGAGTGGTGATAAAATATTTTGGGTGATATTCTCGTCTGTTTAGTTCTTGTAAGTCAGAAGAAATATGGCTATTCACATCGGGTTTTGAAAAATACGTTTTTTAATTCTATAAATTTACGATGTTAAAACCCAATCCATAATAGTGAGATTTAAAGAAAAATTTTTCTATTTTTGCAAGACTTCATCTATTTGATAACACAATCTAATACGCTTCATTTCACGAATTCAAAAATAAAGCGCTTCGGGGTCCAATATTTAGCATTATGTTCTTGAATATGACTTGAGCTATTCGATTGGATGATACTATCTCAGTAGGTGAGAAACTGATAAATCATTCAGTGCCAAAATATTCTTACAAACAATCGTGAAGAAATCCATATTTGAAGAAAAATGCAAAGAGAGAGAATAACAATTTCATTTTTGCTATTTATATAAAAATAAATAATAAACTTTAAAGCGTTCTACAACGTATTACAACACGAAATTGATAGTAAAAAATTTTCTTATATTGTCATTATTGAGAAACTTATGACTTGTATATTTTTATATTAAATTTCTAATCTGTTTTATTTTCTCATTTCCAATATCGTCTTCATGTAATAATTTTAATAAAATATTGACATCATATTAACGATCTTCATAGTATTGAAAACTTCTATCTTCATAAACTTTAGCACTAAAATAGATCTTTCTTTACTGTTTTATTTCATATCACTACAAATGTTGCAATAAATTGGGTTCTATTACCTTAACATTTTCTTACGAAAGCTTGGCGGCTATCATTATGGTTGGATGCAGAATTTTTTGGAATAATTTAATATGTTAGAATTGAAGAGAAATACCAGTATCCCAAACAAAAAACATAAAAAAATTCTAAGCTCGGGTACATATATTTTGATTGTAAAGAGAAAGTTCATATTTATAAAGTAGATTATATTCTTAACTTCAACCAGAGTACGCTTAATCTAATTTTTAACTGATTGAAATAAAATTAAATTATTATATACAAATTCAAGAGTTTTCCAACTGAAACATAGTATCTGAATTAATTTGAAAATTGTTTAATAAATTGACTAATTTAGTTTCGAATTTGTTCGTATAACATAGATGTTCAAGGCAAAAACTAAATAATTATACAGTGTATCTCGTATATATTCGAATATTATGTGTCAATGTGTTTAAAATATTATACTTATTTTTTATTTGAAAATCTGCCACATTTTATTAATATGATATTGAAACATTGGTAGGAATCTGCTTTTAAGTAGGTTAAATGAATCTAATAATTACAATATAATATTGAATATTATTTTATACAAGGTGACTAAAGATGAGGTGAGTATATAACGTCCAGAAGAGAAAAAAAAATTTAAAAATTAGAGCGACTGAGAAGATATCGAATAATCAAAATGTATATCGTTATCGTTAATATTGTTAGTAATTAACTCCATCTTTCTTACATTGATAGTAATGATTACTATCAATGTAAGAAAGATGGAGTTAATAAAAAAAAAAAAAATTATGTTGTACACTCGAAATTTGAACCTGGTTATATTTCGATGAACAAAAGTTCACGTCAATTAATTTATAATACTGTATATGTAAGTATGTAAATTATTATGCATTAATGTCATTATATACGCTTAATTGAAAGATATTCATTTAAGTTTATCTAATAATGAATTAATATTGATTAATAGTAAATAGTACTATTTGATACACAAGTAATGTTTCTCATATGTGTGTGTATATAATGTACACTATATATACATATACAGATACACAGCGGCGGCCTTATCCATTGCGAGGCTCTGGGCGGTAGATCTTTGCGAGGCCCTGGGCGGCAGATCTTTGCGAGGCCCTTGTCCTTTGTGCAATGTATGTGAATTGAAATAGTAGGCACTTATTAATATTAATATATACTGTACTATAAATTAAATTTATTTTATTGTTATAACTAATAGCCAAGGATAAAATAAAAAGTTTTAAATATCAACTTTTTTCTACTTGGTTGTTGCGCGAGGCCCCTCCAAGAGCGAGGCCCCGGGCGATTGCCCTGCTCGCCACCCCCTAAGGCCGCCACTGCAGATACACACGTTAAGTATAGACTAAATATAGACATTACTCGAGTACATATATATATTTATTTATATAGTTATATATTATTTCTCAAATATTGGAAATGTTGTGAATGTTTCAAGAAAGAAAAATAATCTATCTATAATATCGATCTACAACTTTTGAAGTTGCATATAATTTGATGACATGAGATAATCGTTAAAAAAAGAAGGAAAAAAACAATACCTTGATCTCTTCTGTGGTTTGCTCTGGTTTGTAAATGCTTAATTCTTCGAAGAAGTTCGTCTCTTCTTGTCTCGCAGAGTCTTAATTCCGAACGAAGTCTATCTAACAACAGTAATAATCTTTCCCCTGAAATACACATTATGTAATTAAAAATCTTATTTTAATAGGATAGTTTTTAACCATTTTTATTCAACAACTCTTAAGCGAATTAAATTACGTGTTCACGGTCTTCTTTCCATCATTGTCATTAGGTAAATTGCAGTATCCATGACAACTGACCAAACAAATTATAGGGTTAGAACGTGAAAAAATCACTTCTTGACAGTACTTTATCTAACATGAGATCAAATTCAGTTTAAAATCTTATATTTCGAACAGTATTATTTCATTCGTGAAATGTATATCGATATTTCACTATTTCTTTATTAATCTAAAACAAAGACTTGTGTGTAATTACTCTGTACATAGGACGCGGACAGAAATAGGTTTAAAAACTTATATAATTTAGAGATATGTGAAGAGATGATATATGAATTACGAATTGGTTTATATTGATATGGAAAAAATGTAGTTTTTTAATATATCATATCAACAAATGAATGAATTAGTGGTCATTCTATATTCTGATCACGTTAGTGCCATATTCAGGTGATTGATCATTGATATTTATCACTATAATCAGAATTACGATACTGAGAAAAATCTTTTAATCTTTTTAACTATCAGTAAAAAATATTATCCAAATATAAAATTTAAAAGAGAGTTTACTTTTCAATTGCTACAAATAGAAAATTAATAATTACTTTTTGAGTCTCCTTTACCATTTTAGAATGGAAATTTTAGACAGAAAAATATTATGCATAAAACTCATAAGGCTATAATAAATTTAAATGCAAAGTTATATAGCGAAAACCGAATTTCTCCTAAGAAAAATAAATACTAAGTTAAATTGCAACTTACTTTCTGTAATATAATATTCATGTCCACGGATATCTACTGATGATAACCATTGTCCCGTTCCAGCTAAACGTTGTCGATGAGATCTTTCGGCAGCGGGAGTTTCAGGTCCCATTTTATCTCTTGATGCTAGTCCGTAACCATCCGAACGAGACCTTCTCATATTGCTAGGACTATAAATGGTCCTTCCATAGCGGTCTGTATCACGAAATGGTCTCCGAATCTTACTCAAATCGTATCCAAATCTGTTTGTCTTCCCCTCTCTGTTAATACCACGTGATAGAGCATCGATCGTGACGTCATTGCCACCATCCAATAGTTCCTTCACCAACACCTCGATTTGTAATTTTCCATCTCGACTTAAGCTCTGTAAAGTTTCTCCACTAAATAGATGATGCTCTAAGACATCGTCTTCGAGTTTCGGCTTTTCTTTCTCTGGTTTTGTTTCTGGATCAGACTCAGGTTTGCTTTCTTCGCTTTCAGTCTTAGTTGTTTCTGAAGAACTTTCATTTTCATTTTCTTTAACATCTTCAGTTTTTGTTTCTTCAGATTTTTTCTCTTCTTCTTTTGTTTTCGTTTCGTCTACTTTTTGTTCACTTTCTTCTTTCTTTTGTTCACTTTCTTCTTTCTTTTGTTCATTTTTTTCTTCTTGCTCTTGTGTAGTTTCTGATTTATTTTCTCCATTTTCTGATTCCTTTTTGTCACGAGATCTTCCCAGTTCCATCTGTACCTGTCGTATTGTCTCGGCGGCAGCATCTGATACAGTTCCACCGTCATCTTCACCTTCTAATAGAAGAACATGATGCCGAACGATCTGATCATCTTGAGGTGGCGATTCATCAACATATTGCACCATTTCTGAACCGTTTGTTTCTGGTTTTCCATCTTCATTCACTAATCGTATGCTGGTATTTTCGATAATAACTGATTCTTCTTTCTTTTCTGCTTTTTTCTTCTTCCCAATCGTCTTTCTCTTTCCCTCTCCTCCCGTAGGAGCTGTCGAATTTTTTATATCTTTTACTCTAACAGGAAGTGACGACATTGATTTGGCCGCTCGCATTTTACTGTTATTTGTTCCTGTTGTTTTTACTTGTCCTACTGTTACCGGTATCCTACTTAGAGTGTCTAAACTACGATCACGTTTCTGGTGATTGGATTTCGTTCGTTGATCGATCTCTTCCTCGTACCTGTTGTAATCTTTCCGAAAACGACTCTCGTCTCTCCAATCTGTCCAGAGACCATCCGATCCATTTACGATCGATCCTTTCTGATAAATCTTCTTGCGTCTGGAAAAAAACCACAAAACGTAATTACTTATAATGGAATATCCGGGTTACTCCACTTATTAGTTGATTGAAATAGAAAAAATAATTATATCTTTGATCTTAATTAAAGACGCCTTATTCTTTCACTAAATTCCAGAATTAACACGATTTTTACAATATATATAGGCCTAATGAATTATTTTAAAGTTTTATCATTTTTAAATTTTTGAACTTCTTCGATTAGTGACAAATATTATATTAATAAAATCTGAGTAAATTATATTTAAATTACTAAGAAATAGCCTACATTATCTAAATGATATTACTAAAATTTTTTAAACATTTAACTATATAATAATCTCAAAATTTACTATATTTTGAAAGAAATTAGTGGAAATATTTTTCAAGATAAAATATATAAAAAGATTTTAAAATTTTAACTGGCATACAAAAATACAATAAAGTTCTATAAAAAATATTACGACTTGTTCTATAAAATGTTACTATACGCAATTAATAATTAAAGATTTATCAATATCACCTGTAAGATCTGAAAGGTTGTGGAATTTGATTTTGAGAGGAATCGACGATGTCATTTTCGGTAGTTAAATCATTAGAACGAGGTGGTGCCTTGCTCCAAGATTCTTTTTCCATATTATTCTTTGCTTGTCTTCGAGTTCGTCGTTTTCTTTCCACATTAGCATTGTTTGTGGTTGCCATGGTGATAGCCATGTCAGTATGGATGACCCCTGTATCAAGAGGGGGCATGAAGACGTCGGTGGTTAAGATTCTTTCGCTGTCACCGAAACTGTCGGGACTGGCTGAAAAAGGAAATAAGAAAAAAATTTGTCAAAGAAGGGATACACCCAACAACGCCTTATAAATCTCTAGACTCTATACAGGGTGTGGTTTAGTAAGAATTTAAACTGATATAGGTTAACGGGATTAAAAAACACATAGACAGATCATGATATAGTTAAATTTTAAATTAATTTTTCAAATCGATTTGTTCTAGCGACGAATTGTTAAACTGATTTTAGGAAAAAGTTATCAATATTAATAAACTAGATACAAGTAATATACAGTATATTATTATTAACAACAACTAGGTTTAAACATAAATTAAATATATAAAATTCTTAAAAATCAATTAGTTTTTAGGAAAAGAAAACATACAAGTAAAATGAAATTGAGATTTGACCGAGTAAGCAGACTTGAACGTTGAATAATTGATTTTATAAACAAATTATGAATGAAAGTTTCTTTATATGTTTATTAAAATATTGATTTCGGAAGTAGGAAGTAAAAATTCATTGTAAAGAATCATTCTGCGGAAAAATATCCAACTAAATATGTTCAATATGTAATGTAAATCATACAATTTACAAATTAAGAATTAAGTTTCCCGAAAGTAAAATTAATTCAAATTAATCTAAATAAATACTTTAAAATAGTAATTATTAATAGTTTGTCTTCGTCAATAAGCTCAATTAAGCTAGTTTCAATATAAATTTATCTAAAAATTAGAAATTTTGAGAATTAGAATAAATTCCATAGGGAAAAGCATTGTATCAAATTTCCAACGGCACGCAACAGAAGAGAAATGGGTCAAAGAAAATAATGCGCAAGTGAATTTACCTGAAGACCATATAAGGTAGCAAACACCTCTTTTGGGAATTCGCAGGACATGATGGAACACCCTGTAGGACTTGGGCATGGTAAACTGTGTTGATTCGGGTGGAGTGGAGGGTGACTAGGACGTGACACAACCGATCCGTAAAAAAGTTTTAGAGTAGAAGCACGATAGATCCGGATCACGAACCGGCAGGTGTGTTCTCTCTTAGCTTTCTTAACTAGTTAGGTCGCGTGTTATTCCATCTACTTGCGTCGTATCCGCTTTATGATGATAGCAAATCCACAATCGTTTATGAATATAGGGATAATTTAAGTCACAAAGCCAGTAGTGATTTACTATGATAGTATTGATTAAATCCTTAAATTTCAAGCTTTATAAATAGTGTAAAATATTCTGTTTAATTTATTTTTATATTTTGAAACTCAATCAAATAGACGATTGTATCGTAAGCAATGAATCTAAATTTTCATTGAATAAAAAAATATATTTATTTTTAAACATTAACAATATCCATCAATGTTTTTGTTACAATTATGATTAATTTTGTGATTTTTTTATGTTCTGAAATTATTATTATTATTTTAGGTATCGATTTTGCATTTTAACATATATAAACAAAATTAAGAAAATATTACAAAGAAAAGACAGTCATTTTAAAAGACCCATTTAAAAAAAATCAAAATGCAAAAATATTGCGTGTGATTAGCTAACTGGGTCTGATCCTAAAATAACAAGTAACATTATAACTTCGACCACACCCAAGTCTGCAGCGTGCAATGTGACGTAGCTAAACAATACAAAAATTCGATTTTAAACCTCGAATAGTTATTAATTATATGTAAAATGACACCCACGATACCTTATCAGTTATTTCTGTTTTCTTTTAAAATGTGAAAGCAGCTGTGGATTTCAATCTATTAACTAGAGACTAAGCTTATATAAATATCACGTAAGATTATCCAATAACTTTTCATCGAATTTCAAATATTGACATAATAGAAATACCATCTTTATTCTTACACTGGCATATTTCGAATCAGTAATAGACTAGGAAAACATTCAATCGATTCAACTGGCTATAGTTCAATCACCTGAATGAGAGTCCTGGCATTGAAGCATGTCCACTCATCAAATTAGATCATGGTTAAAAACTTAATGTGTTATTGCACTTTACAAAGTGGAATATCTTTCATAATGAGATTATCTTTCTGTTACATACTGTATTCAAAATTATAATAAAGATCATATATCAGACTTTTTTAAAGAATAGCAAAATGTTAATTCTAAAATGTTTTATGTGAAGAAAAGTTACCGGTAAAAAAGAAAAAGTGATTGTTATTAAAGATAGAGAAAACAGAATGACCTTTCATATAGATGATTTAGAAAAGTGAAAGAGATTTCTTGTAACAAGAGTTATTACTGAATAGGATTTAACACGCAAGACGGGAAAAAAAGAGAAAAACACGATACAATTGCTTTTATTGCCTCAAATTCCGAAGTAATAAAAAAGTTCAGATCGATGACATTCAATTTATTAATCTGAAAAACTTATTAAGCGATTGCATTCTTCAATTTTAGGTATTAAAATTTTGGAAATGTTAAAGGTATAGTTTATGATTAAAACAGAAAGTATCAGCTGAAACAAATAGAAAAAATAATAATAAAGAGTAGAAATGTTCCAGCTGCTTCAGTGTAGAATAAACTTTACATATAATATACTTAAACCTTAGCCATTAATATAAGCAAGCAGATTATATTAATGAGCAGATTAAATTATTGATGATTAATTAAAAGTTTTCTAACTGTTAAAGAATTCTATAATATTACTAGTGATTTAAGAAATGTAATATGTCTTTTATCAATTAAACAATTTATATAAAAATAGTATAGCTAATAAATTTAGTATTTATTTCTTAATATTTTATATTATTCTATTGTACAGTATGTACTATGAACGTTGAATAATTGATTTTATAAACAAATTATGAATGAAAGTTTCTTTATATGTTTATTAAAATATTGATTTCGGAAGTAGGAAGTAAAAATTCATTGTAAAGAATCATTCTGCGGAAAAATATCCAACTAAATATGTTCAATATGTAATGTAAATCATACAATTTACAAATTAAGAATTAAGTTTCCCGAAAGTAAAATTAATTCAAATTAATCTAAATAAATACTTTAAAATAGTAATTATTAATAGTTTGTCTTCGTCAATAAGCTCAATTAAGCTAGTTTCAATATAAATTTATCTAAAAATTAGAAATTTTGAGAATTAGAATAAATTCCATAGGGAAAAGCATTGTATCAAATTTCCAACGGCACGCAACAGAAGAGAAATGGGTCAAAGAAAATAATGCGCAAGTGAATTTACCTGAAGACCATATAAGGTAGCAAACACCTCTTTTGGGAATTCGCAGGACATGATGGAACACCCTGTAGGACTTGGGCATGGTAAACTGTGTTGATTCGGGTGGAGTGGAGGGTGACTAGGACGTGACACAACCGATCCGTAAAAAAGTTTTAGAGTAGAAGCACGATAGATCCGGATCACGAACCGGCAGGTGTGTTCTCTCTTAGCTTTCTTAACTAGTTAGGTCGCGTGTTATTCCATCTACTTGCGTCGTATCCGCTTTATGATGATAGCAAATCCACAATCGTTTATGAATATAGGGAAAATTTAAGTCACAAAGCCAGTAGTGATTTACTATGATAGTATTGATTGAATCCTTAAATTTCAAGCTTTATAAATAGTGTAAAATATTCTGTTTAATTTATTTTTATATTTTGAAACTCAATCAAATAGACGATTGTATCGTAAGCAATGAATCTAAATTTTCATTGAATAAAAAAATATATTTATTTTTAAACATTAACAATATCCATCAATGTTTTTGTTACAATTATGATTAATTTTGTGATTTTTTTATGTTCTGAAATTATTATTATTATTTTAGGTATCGATTTTGCATTTTAACATATATAAACAAAATTAAGAAAATATTACAAAGAAAAGACAGTCATTTTAAAAGACCCATTTAAAAAAAATCAAAATGCAAAAATATTGCGTGTGATTAGCTAACTGGGTCTGATCCTAAAATAACAAGTAACGTTATAACTTCGACCACACCCAAGTCTGCAGCGTGCAATGTGACGTAGCTAAACAATACAAAAATTCGATTTTAAACCTCGAATAGTTATTAATTATATGTAAAATGACACCCACGATACCTTATCAGTTATTTCTGTTTTCTTTTAAAATGTGAAAGCAGCTGTGGATTTCAATCTATTAACTAGAGACTAAGCTTATATAAATATCACGTAAGATTATCCAATAACTTTTCATCGAATTTCAAATATTGACATAATAGAAATACCATCTTTATTCTTACACTGGCATATTTCGAATCAGTAATAGACTAGGAAAACATTCAATCGATTCAACTGGCTATAGTTCAATCACCTGAATGAGAGTCCTGGCATTGAAGCATGTCCACTCATCAAATTAGATCATGGTTAAAAACTTAATGTGTTATTGCACTTTACAAAGTGGAATATCTTTCATAATGAGATTATCTTTCTGTTACATACTGTATTCAAAATTATAATAAAGATCATATATCAGACTTTTTTAAAGAATAGCAAAATGTTAATTCTAAAATGTTTTATGTGAAGAAAAGTTACCGGTAAAAAAGAAAAAGTGATTGTTATTAAAGATAGAGAAAACAGAATGACCTTTCATATAGATGATTTAGAAAAGTGAAAGAGATTTCTTGTAACAAGAGTTATTACTGAATAGGATTTAACACGCAAGACGGGAAAAAAAGAGAAAAACACGATACAATTGCTTTTATTGCCTCAAATTCCGAAGTAATAAAAAAGTTCAGATCGATGACATTCAATTTATTAATCTGAAAAACTTATTAAGCGATTGCATTCTTCAATTTTAGGTATTAAAATTTTGGAAATGTTAAAGGTATAGTTTATGATTAAAACAGAAAGTATCAGCTGAAACAAATAGAAAAAATAATAATAAAGAGTAGAAATGTTCCAGCTGCTTCAGTGTAGAATAAACTTTACATATAATATACTTAAACCTTAGCCATTAATATAAGCAAGCAGATTATATTAATGAGCAGATTAAATTATTGATGATTAATTAAAAGTTTTCTAACTGTTAAAGAATTCTATAATNGCCATTTCCAAGCACGATACAGTCACACTATCACGACGTTAACCCAATCAACCGAAGAAATGACAATTTGGAACATTGGATAACAATAATAATTCTGTTTGTTAACATAATTATGCCAGGTCGAGCTTATGTAATGTATAATGTATAAAGCTATTTTAACAAATAATGAAAGGATATTTTTCTCTGTAAACTCGTTCCATGTATCCGCGGTCATTGAATACTCCATTAGTTAACGAACTTAGAGTGCACCCACTAAGATAACTTCCTACTGTGCACTTATATTAATAGTAAAGCGTAAAAAAACAAAGCGTTTTACATGACGTACCAGACTGATTTATAATATTTTATATTTCAGATTATTAATATAAAATGTGTATGTATAAAAAATGCTTTACTCTTATGTAATTTTGCTATAAATTAATTTTTACCAGAGACAATTTTAAGATAGCCTATTTAGCCTATGTTTGTTTAGGCTAAATAGGTTATCTTAAAGCTTATAGCTATTTTAAAGCTAAATAGGTTATCTTAGGCTAAATAGGCTATCTTAAAATTGTTTCTGGAAAATTATTCTTTGTAGAAAATATTAAAAAAGACATTAATTTATTACGTTTTTTTAAAATTCTCCTAGTCAATATTTTAAAAAAATATTAGCAATTTTATAAAATATAGAAATTGGCAAAGTACTATTAATCTTTGCAAAAAAATCAATGTTCAAAAAAAACCATTGTAAAATATTACAACATATTTTTAAGACTTCTCCTAAAGATGAAAACATCTTCGGTAATCTTAACGCATTAAGAAAAAGTTAAATGAATTATTTTCTATCATTCTATAGTTTAAAGACATTAAAAAAATAATTTACATAAAAACGTTTTCAAATGATTTATCTAATTTTACAGAATTTAAAATTAGAAGCCACAGTATAATAAATCTTTTCTCAATCATAAATTTTGAATTTTAAAACTTAAAATTTTAAATAAATTTTTTCAATGTAAAATTTTATAAATTTGAAAAATAAACTGCGTAGTAATGTTGCATTTTAAATAAAATACTTTATACATACATGCTTTAAAATATTCATAAATAAATAAATGCATTGTTTTACTACTGCGATAATTGAAATGAAATTTGAGTAAAAAATTTTAAAGATAATGTGCAGTTTCTATAGAGCAGGAATTCACAGAGTAAAATATTCATATCATGTAGTTAATGATAAATATAAATTGTACATTTACAATATCTTTTTAGGTGGCAAAATGATCTCAAAAGAAAAAAATATAATAGTGACATTTATGAAATATTTGAGATGCATTTTCTTTGAAGAGCTAATATAATCTACAAGTATACATATAGACAATGTATATTAATTTTTATTCTTTGTGCATGAAATTCTCTAACAGTAATATTGTTTATTGTGCATACAAATTTAAATTTTCAAAAAAAGTTCAATTCTCAATTACTAGATGGCGTAACATGATAGTTACTATATACAGTACAGTATTTAGAGTAGCTAGAGTTATATTTTGCAATTGTTAGCAAAGACTTTTTTAAATCAAGTTATGGACAACAAATTAACGTGTTTTAAACCCTAAAATGATTTAAAGAATTTTAATTTTAAAAAGTATTTAAGCCATTAGACTATTAAATATTTAATGAAAAATAATTTAATCTAGTGTAATCACGATTCAACTATTTGCAAGCAGAAAAGTGAAATTGACTGGATCAAAACTTCTTTCTGATTACAGAGAAAGTAATTCCTACGAGGGAAATTACATTAATTCCCGAAAGCCAAAAATCGATGTCATTACTTAATTATCTTCTCTATCGGACGTAAATTATGTTCTTGTGAGTATACCTTCGTAGAATGAAACATCAAAAATTTCAATAACTGAAAAACCTATAGACCAAAAATTAATTATTAAACATAAAATAATAACTAAAATAAATGTAAACTAATATATATGTACACATTCCGTAAATACGCATCAATCCTCATAAGAATAAGGCTATTAATGTTAATGTATTTAATAAGGTTATTATTACGAATCGTTTTACTACTGCGATAATTGAAATGAAATTTGAGTAAAAAATTTTAAAGATAATGTGCAGTTTCTATAGAGCATGAATTCACAGAGTAAAATATTCAGTACAGTACAGTACACTTAAATATGGATTTACGAATAATTTACTCAGTATCATAGAAGAGAATGTCGTTAGCTAAACAAATTATACATAATTTTACTTACTAACGTCTTCTCTAGATGGCTGACTGTTGCTCTCTGTGACACTCTCCTCCAATCCGCTATCGTCTGCGATGTGTGCCCAATAAGCTCCTGTATACGTTCCTTCTTTCAGATAAATCTCTGGCTCCGAAGCCTGAAACGAGTGGTCCTCGTGAGAAAGAAACGTGTTTACATTTTTTAAAATGACAGTAACTCTTCTCAACTTAGACAATGAAGATGAATGCTTCATGGAGCGTGTCCAACTCCACCCAAGATCGATAGTTAGCGAATATTAAATCTATAGAGCCTATAGACAATAATCATCCGATAGTGTATATCGTTCTAGCACATTTACAAATTAGATGACTGAACCGATAATTTAGGTTGCTGATATTAGGAAGCTAATATCAAATTTGAGACGTGAAAGAGGAAATTATCTAATGATGATTTATATCTTACAAGTTGATATTTAAACGTCTAGTCACGTTCGACTCTAATTAGCTACTTTCTAGTATTTTATAAATCTCAATTAGTCTTTTACTTTAGATAATTCGCTTTCATTTTTTGTTCAGATGAAGAACGAATTTTCATGTCGGAAATCCATCAAATGTGGCATGTATAATTTTCGTTATTATGTAATTTAGAGGATGAATCCATGTTACATATCAATTCTTAATTTTCAGACAGTTATAAAAATTAATTTTTGAAAATGTAAGATAAACTTTCACCGTCATTTAAGATTATTTTATCCGTTATTTAAGAACGTCCAAACGTCCATTTAAACTTATTTCATGTTTGTTTAGTTAATTAATCTATGACACAAGAGTCTATTAATATAAACTGAGACAGACTTCGATGAAAAGACAAGCCATGAAATTAAAGCAAAGAAGTTTATGGCGACAAGATACAAATACAATGCATTATGCATTTTTTGATAGAAAACTGATGGCATAATCTCACAGTTAATTATCATTTACAATTATTAACTTTAAGAAATAACAACAAAACTTATTTATAAATCAATGTTTTCATTTTGTTATATTCCTTCATATTATTTTCTTGAAATAAATTTAACCATTTTTTTACCTGCATGTATTTTAAAGTTATGTAAATAGTACTAACATAGTTTATAAGATATATGACAAATAACTGTATAAATTATCTTTAAGTTTCGTTTTTACAATAAAATTCACGCAAAAAATCCTAGACACTAATTTTTGTACAAAATTTAGTATAAAACTTAAAACATTAATAACACATGACGTATATATAACTCAGACGTATTCGTTAACATATATTAACAAATACATCTGAGTTAAATATTCCATATTGTAATATTACTTAAATATATAAGTTAAATACTCGTATATGTTCAGGCTATCTTTGATTTTTACGCTTTAATAAGACATCCATTACAGATAATTGATTATCGTATTCAATATTAGAATTATTCAATATTTAATTTTTCTTTTCTTTCTTTTTTCAAAATTTAATCAATATTTAGATTTTTTCAACGTTTTAATTTAGAATTGTTCAGTTTTTTTGAATTTGAAAAATTCAAAAGAGCAATATAATGCTCTTTTGAATATTCTAATGCTATTACAAGATTAAATTGGAATGTTGTAATGAAACTGTTATACACTAAACGATTCATTAGAAAATTGTAGGCGTTCCTTTTCCCATTGTACTTTGATGAATTTTGTTATTTTATTTTGTTTTATCTTTAACAAAGTGAACTGTACTTTGCACACGTGCAGCGCGTGTCACGCTAGACTCATAGCAATGGACTTTATACATCGATTGACATTATAACTTGTTTCTCAGATATTTATTTGTCACGTACCTCACCAATTGAAATATTGACATTTTCAATTGTTTTAAAATGATATAAATTAAATTCGTATTGTTACATTAGATAATCTATAAGTTCATGTAAGCCTAACATGGTAGAATTAAAACTCAAATATACCTGTATCTAGATTATTAGAAATGATTAAATATTTTGGGCGTAATTGAGACAGTAAATGCGTAAAAGGCTAATTCTTTAACCGATTGAGCTATTTAAACAAATACTAGGTTGGCAGAAGTTCAAGTCACGACGCCAGTTTCAATGGAATATACATTACACATAAAACTAGTTAAGAAAACTGACAGATTCCTCTTCCAAAGTACATCACATTATCTCTAAAGAATTCATCCCATTTGATTTGCCTACTACTTATTATCGATTATTAGTAAATGTTTTATTAAAAATAGATTTTAAAATAATTTATAATTTCTGATATTGTAGGAAACTTACCTTTATCACATAAAAGCCAAGAACCTAAACAACGACCACCCACGTTGATCGCACAGCGATCAATGAAGCTACTTTTTGAAATATCCGCTAGGCGGAGCGTCACTACTAAGAACATTGGCCTGATTGCGTCACGAATTTAATTCTAACTAAACACCTATTGCGTCACAATGCATGGCGCCCTTTTTAAATGTCAGTTAAGTCCACTCCCATTTTCCAGTTAATTATAAAAATAAATAAATTTATTCAAATTCTCCTAAGAAACTCTGCGTAATTATTCTTAAAATCGATAGCAAAATTTTACAAAAGCAGAAGAAAATTTTAAAAGAATGTATTCGATAAAGCTACTTACATGCGGTGGTAGATAGTTTTTTACTTTCATCTCCATTTCTTGGCTAGGTCTCACCTTTAAAAGAATTATATTAAATTTAATATAAAAAAACAACAAAACTAAATATCGAATGAGTCATGGGAATTTTCCATGCGTCGTAAATGTGGTTGACATTTAATTCTGTAGAAGAAAAATGTTACTTTATTCAAATTTCGTGATGTTGTTTCCCAACGGGAACAAAATATTTTCATTATATTAATATATAGAAAGGCCTATTTAGAATATAAACGACAAAACAAAACGTTATTTAAATGAATAACTTATTAGATTACTACTATTCCGGTCGATGGAGAACGACCGTTCAATAAAACTATTCTGTTTAAATCGATAATCTAATAAAATTAATTTCAAATATCCTATGTTATAAATTAACCAATTAATGAAATTATAAATTTTTTATTATAGTTAGAATCTGTCTCAGTCTCTCTCTCTCTTACCTGAAGTAAGCAGAATGAATGTGGTTTTAAGAACGATGACACAACTAAGTGGATCAATATTACTTTATAACATCAATCAAAAATCGCGAATAAATCTAATGACTTTAAAACCCGTGGTTCATACCGAATCAATTCTATATTCATTCTCTTTTGACCTTTTATCATTGACAGTTCATTATATATTATCTAATTTTACTAAATTCAGTCAATTCATTTCTTACCTGCGTAAAATTTCGTCCCACGTTTCTCAAGAAAACATATTTCTTAGGCACCACATCATATCCGAGCTGTCGATATATTTCTTTTCTGAGATCTGTTAGGGTATTGTGAGGAACAACCCTGTAGAAAAAGAATTCATTTTATTTATCATATTTGAAGATTTATAATTCTTTAACGTTTTTAGTTAGTTTCTTACGCAGTTTCAACTTCCATGATCAGGTGTGATTGCAAAGTGCAGTAAAATGCTCTCTGTCGTCTAAGAAACGGTTTGTTTTGGACGTAAACAAATCATGTGATTTTGTAGTCCAATATGCTTTCGACGCATAAATTAAATTGATATTCTCTTTTTTAAAAACCGTCGTTTTAAAATTAATTTTTTTTTTTGTAAAATCAAATTTTTTTGTAATTAGGTGTACGAAATTTATTAATTTATTAAATAATTTATCAAGGAATTTTTCGAATAGAAACTTCAAAAATTGGTTCGTTAATGAAATGGCGCGCTGTTCAATTAGATTTTACCCGGAAATCTAACTGTTCGTGCATGGAATTTCCGCAGTCAGGTCACGTGATAAAGTTTCCGGTAAGTTACTTCCAATTGATCAAAACTATCTCCGTGAGATAGACTTTCCGTTAAATTAATTGCTTTTATTTTTCTTGTAACAAAAGACAACAGGAAGTAAAATCTGAAGCTGTCTCTATTTAACATTCAAAAAATACAATTTAATAAAATTATTGTAATAAATGTAGACGTAATACAAAATTAATCAGAATTATTTTTTAAATTATTAATTTGGCCGAATCACTCATTATTTATAAGTTAAACGTTATTGTATTAGCATTCAAATCATGTGCATTTTCATCATTTAAAATCCTTTCGAACGGTTGATTTGCTTTTAAGGTCATAAACGTTCCTTCATAGGGCGTTGCCTTTCACAGGATATTATTTACAAGCGAATAGGTTCTATCGATCGTCTCATAATCTCTCAGTTTCTGTCAAAACATTAATTATAAATATAAAATAGACGTGAAATTAAAATATATAATCCTCGACATTATTCGTAAATCATGTTTTGTGATCTCACTGCATGTAGATATGATAGAAGTAACCTAGTTTAATCCAGTATAATATAAATAAACTTTCAATGAAATATTGTCATGTTAATGCATGGTTTATAGCCATTTCCAAGCACGATACAGTCACACTATCACGACGTTAACCCAATCAACCGAAGAAATGACAATTTGGAACATTGGATAACAATAATAATTCTGTTTGTTAACATAATTATGCCAGGTCGAGCTTATGTAATGTATAATGTATAAAGCTATTTTAACAAATAATGAAAGGATATTTTTCTCTGTAAACTCGTTCCATGTATCCGCGGTCATTGAATACTCCATTAGTTAACGAACTTAGAGTGCACCCACTAAGATAACTTCCTACTGTGCACTTATATTAATAGTAAAGCGTAAAAAAACAAAGCGTTTTACATGACGTACCAGACTGATTTATTTTGTGCAGACGACGTGTCAGACTGATATAAATAATTAAAAGCTTGTTTTGAAAGCCACAGCTTCAAACATGGAGCCAGCTCTAAGGGATCGGAACTCGTTCTGTCCCCAATAATATTTTAAGTGGTACCGGCTCCAAACATAAAAGTAATTTTTATTTTGGAGCCTAGCACCGCTTAAAATATTATTAGGGAGCTGAATGGATTTAGACCCTTAGAGTTGGTGCCCATGACTTCAACTCTAAGGGGTCAAACTTTCTATAAAATTATATAATCTTACTACACTTTTGTATTATAAAAACAGAAGTATCAAAATAAAACAGAAGTATTATCAACTTCTGTATCAAAACAGATTTTTTGATACAGAAGGTGGACAGGCTTCTTAAATTTTGTAGAACAAACACAATGGAACAGATTACCATAGTTTAATCATTCATCAAACAAAATAAAATTCTTGTAAAACAAAAGTAAAAGTTTTTAGAAAAATAGTTTCTCTCTCCATTTCATTACTGTACTCTGCTCAAGAATAGACTAATTCTTCTTTTGTTATTAATTTATTAAATAGTTATATTTATAATAATAT